AAAAAAAAAAAAAAAAAAAAAGAAAACAAAACAAAACAAAACTTATGCACTCATACAGAAAAGAATAAAATGTCATTAATAATTGTCAAAACTGATTGCATGTTGATAGTATTTTTACGATAGGTTAAAAGATATTAAAATTAATTTTACCTATTTCTCTTTACTCCATTAATGTGGCTACGTTAATTTTAAATCATGTATGTGGCTCACTTGTATTCCTACTGGATAGTGCTGATCCAGAACACCTTTCCTCTGTATAAATTCAAGTCATTGCTCCTCTTCCATAAAGCCTTTCTCAATCTTCCCTAGCTGTTCTTCATCTACTTTGTCTAAATCTTTCATGTGCTTGTCACTTTTTATTTTCAATTAGTTGTGTCTGACTTACCTATAACTCTTAAAAGCAAGAATCATATTATATTTACCTTTTTATTCCCAATAACCTCTAATTCACAACCTTGCCAAAGCAGACACTGAATTAGTAAACAACAAAAGAAAATACTCCAAACTCCATCAATAGCGGCCATCTCAGGGAAATAGAAATGAAAATTCCTTAAGGGCAGGAAACCAACACATCTTCTTAAAGCCCTAGCACAGCACCTTGAAATAGCAGGCACTCAAATATGTCCTGAACTGATATGGTTACCACATTTCCTGATCACTCTACAACAGGGGTCAAACTGTTGAGATTGGTGAAAAATAACTGGAAACAATCTGAAAGGTGAAAGTCTTTTTTTTTCTTTTGAGATAGAGTCTCACTCTGTTACCCAGGCTGGAATGCAGTAGCATGATCACAGCTCACTGCAGCCTCGACCTCCTGGACTCGAGATCTTCCTGCCTCGGCCTTCCAAGTAGCTAGGACCACAGGCACACATTACCACTTCCAGCTAATTTTTAAATTATTTTGTAGAGATGGAGTCTCACCACGTTGCTCAAACTGATCTAAAACTCCTGGGCTCAAGAGATCCTCCCACCTCAACATCCCAAAGAGCTGGGCTTACAGGCAGGAACCACCATGCCTGGCTCAAGCTGAAAGTCTTCTGATAGAGGAAAAGATAAACTTGTGGTATATTCCTTTACAGTTTTTAAAATACCCACATATCAGTAAGTATCAAATATGATGTTGATTACACTAAGCCAAGTTACAAAAATATACATACATGTATTTTTTGTAAAAAAATTAAAACACAAAGCTAAGTATTCTTTATGAATTTATATACACATAAAATCACAAAAATTAAAACAAAAGATCCACACCCACTTCAGGAGCACATTTAACTGTGGGGAGAAGGGTAAATGGAATAAAGAGTTGCAGTCTTCAACTTTACCTATAATGTACCTTTTCTAACTTTAAAGGATCTTCGGTAATTTTTTTTTTTTGAGACAGAGTCTCACTCCGTCACCAGGCGCCAGGCTGGAGTGCAGTGGCATGACCTTGGCTCACTGCAACCTCTGCCTCCAGGGTTCAAGCAATTCTCCTGCATCAGCCTCCCCAGTAGCTGGGACTATAGGCGTGCACCACCATGCCAATTTTTTTGTATTTTTCGTAAAGGCGGGGTTTCACCGTGTTGGCCAGGATGGTCTCAATCTCTTGACCTCGTGATCCGCCCGCCTCAGCCTCCCAAAGTGCTGGGATTACAGGCGTGAGCCACTGTGCCCGGCCTCAGTAATTTTGTTAATGTTAACTTTTGTCAAATCTGGGTGGCGGACATGAGAGTAATGTTAATCTCTGCCATATTCTAAACGTTTGAAATATTCCAGAATTTCAAACCATAAATATCTTTTTTTTTTTTTTTTTTGAGACAACCTCTTGTTCTGTCCCCCAGGTTAGAATGCCATGGTGTGATCTCAGCTGACTGCAACCTCCACCTCCTGGGTTCAAGCAATTCTCCTGCATCAGCTTCCTGAGTAGTTGGGATTATAGGCGCCTGCCACCCGGCTAATTTTGGTATTTTTAGTAGAGATGGGGTTTCACCATGTTGGCCAGGCTGGTCTTAAACTCCTGACCTCAGGTGATCCGACTACCTTGGCCTCCCAAAGTGGTTGGGCACAGTAGCTCATGCCTGTAATCCCAGCACTTTGAGAGGCCCAGGCAGGCAGATGAGGTCAGGAGATCAGGACCATCCTGGCTAACATGGTGAAACCCTATTTCTACTAAAATACAAAAACTTAGCCAGGCGTGGTGGTGCATGCCTGTAGTCCCAGTTATTCAGGAGGCTGTGGAAGGAAAACCCTTTTAACCTGGGAGGCAGAGATTGCAGTGAGCCAAGATCGCACCCCTGCACCCCAGCCTAGGGACAGTGAGACTCCATCTAAAAAATTTTTTAAAAAAGGGCTCAGCTGCTTTCATAAAGTTTAAAACGACTTTCTTAGATAATCAAAGTTTCTTCTAGATACAAGATTCTGGTTTTCAATTTACTTTTCCATTTCAGAGTCCTGGCCACTATAATTTTATTCTTTTTTCTTTTTTTTAACTTGAAAGCTGAAGATTTATTGCCAAATGATAGAATTTTATTCTTAAACTAAAAACTAAATTATTCATACCTCTCAACATTCTATTTGCCAACTATTCAAAACGGCCACACAAGTCATCTCCTTAAATATGTTTAACTTTTGCCGGGCGCAGTGGCTCAAGCCTGTAATCCCAGCACTTTGGGAGGCCGAGGCGGGTGGATCACGAGGTCAAGAGATCGAGACCATCCTGGTCAACATGGTGAAACCCCGTCTCTACTAAAAATACAAAAAATTAGCTGGGCATGGTGGCACGTGCCTGTAATCCCAGCTACTCAGGAGGCTGAGACAGGAGAATTGCCTGAACCCAGGAGACGGAGGTTGCGGTGAGCCGAGATCACGCCATTGCACTCCAGCCTGGGTAACAAGAGCGAAACTCCGTCTCAAAAAAAAAAAAAAAAAAAATATGTTTAACTTTTAAGTTATATCCAGTAGGAAAAAAGACCAATTAGTCCCAGTTAAAATTAATTTTAATATTTAGGCCAAAAGTAGTCCCTAAAGGCCGGGCACAGGGGCTCACACCTGTAATCCCAGCACTTTGGGAAGCTGAGGCAGGCAAATCACCTGAGGTCGAGAGTTAGAGACCAGCCTGACCAACATGGAGAAACCCATCTCTACCAAAAATACAAAATCAGCCAGGCATGGTGGCACATGCCTGTAATTCCAGCTACTCAGGAGGCTGAGACAGAAGAATCACTTAAGCCTGGGAGGCAGAGGGTTGCAGTGAGCTGAGATCACCACTGCACTCCAGTCTAGGCAGCAAAAGCAAAACTCCATCTCAAAAAAAAAGTAGCCCCTAAGAAACATACTTTTTATGGTTATAATTAATAGGAAAATCAGTGTGCTAAGCTTAAAAGAAAAGCTGGAATTCAACAGACTTATGCTTACATAAAATACAAAGAATAAAAATGAGGAAACAATGAGATGCACACAAAGTAAATGTAAGACCTCTAAAGTTATATGACAAGACTGAGTTAATAAAACTCTCGCTAACAGGAAACCTTAACAAATGACTCTTCAGTCTTTTATGATTTGATTCTTATGCTAAAATATTATAAACACATTTCTTACAGAAAACACTTAGGCAACTCTATTGTGCATAATAAAAAGATTACCTTATTTGATGCTGAATCAAAAGAATGTTTCATCTGATTATCCAATGGTGGGTCAGGAGAAGGTTTTATCTCATTAGCCAAATGACAATTTTCAGGAGCCCTTTCCTTGGTTTTATTAATTTCTACTGTAATATCATTAATTTTCACTTCTTCAGAATTAATTTCTTTCATTTTTTCCTGCTGACAAATTCTATTTCTATCATGTGGTTTTGTCCCTAAAAGTGTACTTTGAGTCACTGGATGATGCATTTCTAAAGCTGGTGGTGAAAAACTGGTTCGTAATAAACCTAATTTAGGGGATACTTGAGAGTCCAACTTATTGTGCTGCACAGAGTTAAATTTTGAGAGTTTAATTTTAGTCCAGTTGGAGTTCTTCTTGGTTGAGCTGTTTATTCCATTCAGCATACATTTCACAGGCTTTGTTTTTCTACTTGGGAAAAAACGGTTACATTGCACATCCTGATTTGTTTCCTTCTGATGAAGTACTTGTCTTTCACCATTGGTCTCTTCCAATTTTATTTCTGTGGGTTTTTCTTCCTTTACACTTTCCATTTGTGAAGATTCCTTTTTTACCTCTACATTATCTGACTCAATTTCACCAGCAATTTCTTCACAGAGCTGCAGAATACTACCTCGTTTGCTCCACCTCATTATCACTTTGTTCAGGCACTGATGGCTGTGGACTTTTTGGGAGTGTTGTGTTAGTATTCACTTGTGTATGAACCGACTTCTTCGTCTCATTTCTTTTCGAGACAACTGAAGCAGCCATTTTTGATCTTTTTACCTCAGAAGTTACAGGCACAGGTTTCATTTCCTCTCTTCTAGAAGTCTTCTGAGGACACTTTTCAGATCCTTGTATGCATCGAGAACTACAAGCACAAGCTGTCTGAAGTTCTACCTTGCGTTTTTTCCCTTTGGGGGAATTTACTTCATTAATTACTAAATTTTCATCTTCTTTAGAGTCAGACTTTACTTCCGGTAGTTTTCTCTTCACATGTTTCTGACTTGTTTTATTAGATTTACTCTGAGTACTGCTACATTGCTCTTTTTTCGTTGGTGGCAAACTCTGCTTAACTGCTGGAACTTGACCCTGAATTTCTCTGCTGCGTAAAGACCTTTCGGAAACCTCTGTTAATTGTTGTAGCCTTTGTGATCGCCGGTTAAGCTGCTCACTTGCTTTAGAGTTTTCATGTACTAATTTTTTCTGAGATAATTTCTTTTTTGTAGATTCTTGTTGTGAATCTCCCCTCACGGTCACCGTATTTTTATTAATGGATTTAGTGGCTTTATCAGTAGATGCTGCCTTTAATGACCTTGTACTCATGCGTGTTTCCAATTCTGGCTGATTTATTTTACTTTCGCTGGAAGATTTAACCTGTGATTTTATAGTTTCCTTTGGACCTGATTTTTTTGCTAGATTCTTTTGAGAAATCTGAATTTCTGTTTCTGAATTCTTATCTTCACTTTTTTTAGTAACTTTGGAGGAATTTTCTTTTGATTTCTCCTGAATGGACATCATTCCTGAGTAACAACTTTCTTTTCTGAATAGTTTTGAAGAGGATTTTTGTGTCCTAGTTGGTGTGAATGCTGATTAGCTACTATTACTACTGAGGAGCAGGTCTGAAAAATCAACTTTAACTGCTGCTGATACACATTTTCAACAAAAATACTAGTTTGCTTCAAGTAAGGTTTCTGTCATTCCTAGAACATGAGAAAAGCTGGCATGAATGCTAAAAGATACTTGCTTTATTTTGGACAAGGTAATAAAATTTTGAGAAAAATTTGATTTGATTATTTTTAACAAGTTTTTTTATGAAAAGAAATTTAATTCAGGTTCAATCTGTTTCGCTAATTTTTTAATTAATTTTGGTTTCAGGCCTAGCCCTATTACTGGAGGAGTTATTTATCAGTGACCTGTTTTGATAAAATTTTTGAAAACTTTTTTCTTCTGAAGTCTACAGTTATTGGACTTCGATTCACTTGAAACATGTCTTATGGCTAACACGTTTCTTTCCTTGTTTGCTGCGTCTGTTGGTTTGCAGTTCTTATTTAACCTCTTTTGTTCAATAAAATATTCTATTAATACAGATTTCCTTTTGTGCTGCCATTTCTGAAAAATTAAAAACAAAAAATTAAGTTTTGTACAATCCATGAAATATGGCAATGCTAACACTACACAGAAATAACCTTGATTTAAATAAAATCTAACTCCTCCTTTTGAAATATCTAGTCTGTACACATAAGGCTAACAGAACGAAGTATCCCAAGTATATTCCTATGAAAAATCAATAATTGTCTTATATAAGCACAAAAAAATTGAAACTCACTATATTCCTCAAGGTTTACTTACAGTTTTTGCCCCACAAGATAGACTTGATGTTTCAGCCACCATAACTCATGAAAATTAGACAAAACCATTCCTTATTATATGCTCTTAACACATTACACAGCACCTGAAAGAATAAGGTTTTTGTCAATGTTTAAAAGGACAAAGGAAAGATGTAATCATCTTATCAAATGTAACACTCCATAATTTTATCCTGTCCTACCATTAGTCATCATTTCTTCAGAACTCACATTACACACAGCACTTAATTTTAGTATTTCCAATTTGTAGTAAACTATAATATATGCAGCCAATGGACTAGTATGCATTCATGTATTTTGTGAAAAAAAGTGTTTTTGTTTTGTTTTGTTTTTGTTTTTTTGCGACGGAGTCTCACTCTGTCGCCCGGGCTGGAGAGCAGTGGCACAATCTCAGCTCACTGCAACCTCTGCTTCCCAGGTTCAAGCGATTCTCCTGCCTCCGCCTCCTGAGTAGCTGGGATTACAGGCGCTTGCTACTATACCGGCTAATTTTTGTATTTTTAGTAGAAATGAGGTTTCACCATGTTGGCCAGGCTGCTCTGGAACTCCTGACCTCCAAACTCCCGCCCACCTTGGACTCTTAAAGTGCTGGGATTACAAGCGTGAACCACCATGTCTGCCCATTTAAAATACAAAAAACAATTCATAAAATACACATTAAATGCTTTAAACCAGTAAAGTAAAATCCTATTTAGGGGAAAAAACAATGGACATAGATAACTATAAACATAGAAAAACACTGAAATACAGTTAAAGAAGGCAGACTTAAGCACACACATATACGTGTATTCCCATTCAAACCCTACTGGAAAAAAAAGCAACATAGAGACTAAAACAAAACAAGACCCGGTTTGGTGATTCACATCTATACTCCTAGCATCTCCAGAGGCTGAGGCAGGAGGATCGCTTAAGGACCAGCCTGGAAAACATAGCAAGACTCTGTCTCTACAAAAATTAAAAATTAGCCAGGCATTGTGGCATGCACCCACAGTCCAGGTTACTTGGGGGACTGAGTAAGGATTGTTTGAGCCCAGTTGAAGGTTGCAGAGAGCTCGTGCCAGTGTACTCCAACCTGGTTAAAAGGGTGAGACCCCATTTCTAAAATAAGTAAATAGCCAAGACAAAACCATAAACCCAAAGAATAAAAAACAGGAGAGTAGATGACAAAAATTTAGAAGTACCGATGCTACCAAAAAGAACAAATAACTAACTTAGTAGACTCAAGAAAATCTGAATCTTCAGGTGGAAATGTGGAAAGCTGAGAAGGTCTATTTATATCTGAGACTCAGGAATTAGCAGTATCAAACTCCACAGGAGATGGGGATAAAAATGGGACTTAAAAAAGTAGACAGGGCCAGGAGCAGTGGCTCATGCCTGTAATCCCAGCACTTTGGAAGGCCAAGGCAGGCGGATCACTTGAGGCCAGAACCTCAAAACTAGCCTGGCCAACATGGTAGAACCCCATCTCTACTAAAAACACAAAAGTATTAGCCAGGCACGGTGGTGGGTGCCTGTAATCCCAGCTACTCAGGAGTCTGAGGCAGGAGAATCATTTGAACCCCGGTGGTGGAGGTTGCAATGAACAGAGATCATGTCATTGCACTCCAGCGTGGGCAACAAGAGTGAGACTCCAACTAAAACGGAAAAAAAAAACAAAAAGGTAGATAGACTCCCAGATTGCCATTCCCATTACTAGCACCCAGAAGAGTAGAGGTATAAATCTCCAGAAGGCGTGAAACAAAAGGTCAGCAGGCACAGTTGAGGATGCAAGTATCATATTGACAACAGAAGGAATAAACAGGAATATACACACTGATTGCTGAAACCCACTCTGTCCATCCAAAACCTTCTACCTACTCAAAGGCTCCTGGAGGACAGCAGCCAAGCCTATACCTTCAACGAAGGAAATGGAAAGATCATGTTCTACTGATCTTTCTGAAATGAGTACTAGTGAATTTGGCAAGCCCAAGAGAAAATACTTAAAAATATTGGTAAGGTCTACCTATAGTCACCAAGACACAAACACACCCCCTACAGTCAGGAGTCTACCAGCCACTCCACACATTTTCCAATCACTTTTAGCCATAAGCAGTTAAACAACAATCACCACAAACAGAAGAAAAACTTTAATATGAAGAAAAAACACAGAAAAAAAAGTAGCTTTGAAGAACAAATTAGAGAAAAATCTAAATAAGCTAATTTGTCTTGAAACAGATAAGATCATCATAAAAAAAGAACTCTTGAAAATTAAAAACACTATAGAAAAAAATGAAAAAGCAGCATTAGAATGTAAAGGTAAGGAGATCTCCTATAAAGTAGATCAAAAAGACTAAGATGGCACATGGGAGAAAAAAATAAGAAAATTAGAGGACCATCCATGAGGTCCAACAGACCTTTCAAAGAATAGAGGAAAGGCATTAGGGAAAAAAAAAAAAAAATCAACAACTCAAGAAATTTTCCTAGGCCTGAATGACATGAGTTTCCAGACTAAAACAGCCAGGACTACTAGGTGCAGAGGCACATCTATAATCCCAGCTACTCTGGGAAGCTAAGGCACGAGGATCATTTGAGACCAACCTGAGTAACAGAGCAGGACCTACTTCTAGAAGATATTTTTCTTTTTTTTTTTTTTTTTTAAGAGACAGAGTGTCGCTCTGTTGTCCAGGCTAGAATGCAGTGGCACGATTTCAGCTCACTGCAACCTCCACCTTCCGGATTCAAGCAATTCTCATGCCTTAGCTTCCTAAGTAGCTGGAACTACAGGCATGTACTACCATGCCTGGCTAATTTTTGTGTTTGTTTTTTGTTTTTTTCCAAGACAGAGTCTCACTCTGTTGCCCAGGCTGGAGTGTAGTGGCCCAGTCTCGGCTCACTGCAACCTCTACCTCCTGGGTTCAAGCAATTCTCCTGCCTCAGCCTCCCGAGGAGCTGGGATTACAGGCAAGAGCCACCATGCCCAGCAAATGTTTCCGTGTTTTTACAAAAAATTTAAAATGGGGTTTCACCATGGGGTTTCACCAAGTTGGCCAGGTTGGTCTCAAACTCCTGACCTCATGATCTGCCCACCTCGGCCTCCCAAAATGCTAGGATTACAGATGTGAGCCACTGCACTTGGCCTTTTTTGTATTTTTAGTAGAGTCAGGGTTTGATGACCAACCCAAACCCCATCAGTGATAGACTGGATAAAGAAAATGTGGCACATAGGCCAGACACAGCATCTCATACCTGTAATCCCAGCACTTTAGGAGGCTGAGACAGGCAGATCATGAGGTCAAGAGATCAAGATCATCCTGGCCAACATGGTGAAACTCCATCTCTACTAAAAAATACAAAAATTAGCTGGATGTGGTGGCACGTGCCTGTAGTCCCAGCTACTCAGGAGGCTGAGGCAGGAGAATTGCCTGGTCAGCCTGGCCTCCGGGAGGTGGAGGCTGCAGTGAGCCGAGATCGTGCCACTGCACTCCAGCCTGGCACCTGGCAAGAGTGAGACTCTGTCTCAAAACAAAAAAAAAAAAAAAGAAAAAAAGAAAATGTGGCACATACACACCATGGAATACTCTGCAGCCAGAAAAAAAGGATGAGTTCATGTCCTTTGCAGGAACATGGATGAAGCTGGAAACCATCATTCTCAGCAAACTAACACAAGAACAGAAAATCAAACATTGCATATTCTCACTCATAAATGGGAGCTGAACAATGGGAACATATATGGACACAAAAAGGGGACCATCACACAATGGGGCCTGTTGGGGAATTGGGAGCTAGGGGAGGGACAGCATTAGGAGAAATACCTAATGTAGATGAAAGGTTCATGGGTGCAGCAAACCACCATGGCACATGTATACCTATGTAACAAACCTTCTGCACATGCACAGGTACCGTAGAACTTAAAGGATACCAATAACTTTAAAAAAAAAAGAGAGAGAGAAAGATAGGGTTTCACCATGTTGGCCAGGCTGGTCCTAAACTCTTGGCCTCAAGTGATCCGCCCACTTCGGCCTCCCAAAGTACCAGGATTACAAGGATGAGCCACTGCACCTGGCCAAAAAAAATTTTTTTTAATAAACTGAGCATGGTGGTACATGCCTGCAGACAGTCCCAGATGCTCTGATGGCTGCGGCAAGAGGAGCACATGAGCTCAGGATTCGGAGGCTGCAGTGAGCTATAATCATGCCAGTGCACTCCAGACTGGCTGACAAAGCAAGGCCCCATCTCTTTAAAAAGACAACAAAAAAACAGAGCCAGGCATGGTGGTGCAGGCCTGTAATCCCAGCTCTTTGGGAGCCAGAGCAGGTGGATCACAAGGTAAGGAGTTCACCAGCCTGGCCAATGTGATGAAACCCTGTCTCTACAAAAAATATAAAAATTAGCAAGGTATGGTGGCATGTGCCTGTAATCCCAGCTATTCAGGAAGCTAAGGCAGGAGAATGGCTTGAACCTGGGAGGCAGAAGTTGCAGCGAGCCAAGATTGCACCACTATACTCCAGCCTGGGCAACAACAGCAAGACTCAGTCTCAAATAAATAAATAAATAAATAGGGGTGAGGGGTGGAGGGTGGGGAGGGGTTGGTCCACAACTGTAATCCCAGCGATTTGGGAGACCAAGACCAGTGAATCACGAGGTCAGGAGATCGAGACCAGCCTGGCCAACATAGTGAAACCCCATCTCTACTAAAAATACAAAAAATTAGCTGGGCATGGTGGTGGGCACCTGTAATCCCAGCTACTTGGGAGGCTGAGGCAGGGGAATCGCTTGAACCCAAGAAGCCAAGGTTGCAGTGAGCCAAGATCGCGCCACTGCACTCCAGCCCAGGCTACAGTGCACTCCGTCTCAATAAAAAAACAAAGCCGGGCACAGTGGCTCACAGCTGTAATCCCAGCACTTTGGGAGGCCAAGGTGGGTGGATCACCTGAGGTTAGGAGTCTGAGACCAGTCTGGCCAACATGGCAAAAACCCTATCTCTACTGAAAATACAAAAATTAGCCAGACATGGTGGAGTGTGCCTATAATTCGAGCTGCTAGGGGCCTGAGGTAGGAGTATCACTTGAACCTGGGAGGCGGAAACTGCAGTGAACTGAGATCGTGCCACTGCACTCTAGCATGGGCAACAGAGCGAGACGCCATCTCAAAAACAACAACAAACAGGGAGGGGGGCCTAAGAGTATCTAGAACAACAGATGAAAAAAAAAATTATTTCTTTATTTTTGAGATGGAGTCTCGCTCTGTCACCCAGACTGGAATGCAGTGGCACGATCTCAGCTCACTGCAACCTCGGTCTCCCGAGTTCAAGCAAGTCCCCTGCCTCAGCCTCCTGAGTAGCTGGGATTTCAGGCATGCCCCACCACGCCTAGCTAAGTTTTTTTGTATTTTTAGTAGAGACAGGGTTTCACTGTATTGGTCAGGCTTGGTCTCAACCGCCTGAGCTCAGGTAATCCACCCACCTCTGCCTCCCAGCGTGCTGGGATTACAGGAGTTGAGCCACAGGACCCAGCCACCCCCGCAAAAATTTAAGCCTTTCTATGTTTCTGCTGGCAATGAGGAAATAAACGTTTAATTTTTAAAAAACCTATCGCAAGGATAAAAATATGACTCTCGAACTTCTAGAAGAGAAAAATCCTGACCACATACAGATGATTAAGATCAGAATTACAACAAACCTCTCCATAGCAACACTGGAAGCAAGATAATGGGAAAATCCTTCAAAATGCTAAAAAAAAAAAAAAAAAAAGCTGAAGAAAAATTATGTCCCAAGTAGAATTCAATGCCTAAACAATTAAGTGTGGAGTAAATTATTCAATTTTCAGGTATGCAGGGTGTCAAAAAACTTAACTCCCAAACATCCTCCTCTAGGGTCTACAAGAGAATGTGCACCAAAAAATAAGTGTATTAAAATGAAGAAAAGAGGAGGGAGTTCAGGAGCCAAACAGAAAATGAGACCGTACATGTGTGCTTTTATTGAAGTTTACCTGAATAAATATAAGTATAAATAAGTTAGTTTAAAGGAATTTTTAAAAAAGAATTACTATTGATAATACAGATATACAGTCACTCTTGATTGTCTACTCATACCAATAAAAAGAATGAATCTGTTTGGTTCGATTCATTTACTTAAAAAAAAAAAAAAGAATGATCTGGCAGTTAATGAACTGAAGATATTTTCAAATATATTTTTATTATCATCAACTTTTGGAATGTACAAACCAAAATCAAGTATCATGCTTTATGAAATAGCACAAGAAATCTTCCATTAAATTCAGCAAAGTTCTAACTATATAAACAACAAGCTGAAATACACAATAGAAATAAACCACATGCCATTTACAGCAATGCACAGACATGCACAAACGTGCACAAGCGCACACACACAAAAATCAACTTAAAAAGCAACAGGGTAGATTTACACTGATATTGAAATACACTTAGCTGTAATATTTAACAGTTTAGTTTCAATATATCAATTTGTAGAGATTAACAGAACAAAACAGACTCTAAAAATAGACCTGAAATACAAATATTAGCTGGGCATGGAGGCGGGTGCCTGTAATCTCAACTACTCTTGAGGCTGAGGCAGGAGAATCACTTGAACCTGGAAAGCAGAGGTTGCAGTGAGCCAACTGCAGTGAGCCAAGATGGCACCACTGCACTCCAGTCTGGGTAACAGGACAATACTCCTTCTCAAAACATAAATAAAATAAAATAAAAATAAAAATATTTATTTTTTGAGGCCCTAATGCAACGGGGGATTTAGATATAAAGGTGGTATTAATTTCATTCATTTCAAATTAATGAAAAAAAATTACTCAACGATTGCTGTTAGATGGGCACACACACCTATAATAACAGCTATTCCAGAGATGAGACAGGAGGATAACATGAGGCCAGAAGTCTGACACCAGCCTAGGCAACACAGCAAGATACCATTTCAAAGAAAAATTAATTAATCAGATTTCGACCTGGGTGATAGAGAGAGACCACATCTCCAATAAATAAATAAGTAAATAAATAAATTGGTGTTAGGAAAACTGGGTAATCATCTAGGTAACCTATCCTAGTTTACGAGTAAGAAAACGTTCAAGAAAAATAGTATGGGAAATCTTTTTTTTTTCTTCTTTTTTGAGACGGAGTTTTGCTCAATGCCCAAGCTGGAGTGCAACAGTGGGATCTTGGCTAACTGCAACCTCCACCTCCCAGGATCAAGAGATTCTCCTGCCTCAACTTCCCAAGTAGCTGGGATTACAGGCACATACCATCATGCCCAGCTAATTTTTTGTGTTTTTAGTAGAAATGGAGTTTCACCATGTTAGCCAGGCTAGTCTCAAACTCCTGACCTCAGGTGATCCTCCTGCCTCAGCCTCCCAAAGTGCTGGGATTACAGGAGCGAGCCAACGCCTCCAGCTAGGAAGCCTTTAAATATTTGTTTTCACAGTAAAAAAGGCCTTTTAAGCCTTATCATAAAATTCAGAAGTCAAGGTTTAAAGGGCAAAACTGGGGGAAAATACTGTCAAGAAATGGCAAAAGCTGATAACCACAATATATTTAAAGGGAAAAAACAATAAATGGCTGGTATAATAGATAACAAGATAATACAAATTAAAACCAACACCTATCAGACTGGCCAAAGATCAAGAAGTTTAACAATACAGTCTTGGTAAAGGTTTGTGTCAGGTACCTTACATTACTACGAGTGATTCAATGTCTATGCAGGACAATCCATCTATTAATATTATAAATGCTAATTTTCAAACAGGTTCATTTCCAGGACTTTATATTACAGTTATATTGCACAAGTGCACAAAACACATGTAACTACAGAACTCACAACAACGTTTCAACAAAGACTGAATTCCCCAGAACAAACAACCATCACTCTAATACTGTTTATATAATTGACTGTACATTTGTACAACAGAATACCATGCAATCATGTCAAGGTAGAACTGAGATTCAAATCAATTCCAGGCAAAATTTCCACAGCCCGTTTTTCTTTTTAATAGATCTATAGGTCCAATATTTATATTTATTTTTGAGATGGGGTTTCTCTGTAACCCAGGCTGGGTGCAGTGGTGTAATCATAACTTACTGCAGCCTCAAACTTCTGGGCTCAAGTGATCCTTCTTGAGGCATGCACCACTACACTTGGCTCCCACAGGCTTTTTATACAGAAATTAACAGCCTGGTTTAAAAATGTATATGGAAATGCAAACTATATACCATAGCCAAAACATTTTTTAAAAAGAGCAGAACTGAAATACTAACACTATCCATTTCAGGACTTAATATACAGCTACTAAAATCAAGACAGAAGCCCAGGCGTCATGGCTCATACCTGTAATCCCAGCACTTTGGGAGGCCGAGGCAGGTGGATCACGAGGTCAGGAGTTCGAGACCAGCCTAACCAACATCGTGAAACTCCATCTCTACTAAAAATACAAAAATTAGCTGGGCGTGGTGGCATGCGCCTAATAATCCCAGTTACTCAGGAGGCTGAGGCAGAAGAATCACTTGAACCCAGGAGGCAGAGGTTGTGGTGAGCCAAGATCATGCCACTGCACTCCAGCCTGGGTGACAGAGCAAGACTACATTTAAAAAAAAAAAAAAATCAAGACAGTATAGCAATGACAAAAGATACAGAGGACAATAAAGTAGAAAAGAGAACACAGAAACAGACCACACGTATATGGTCAACTAATTTCCTTTTTTTTTTTTTTGAGACAGAGTTTCACTCTTCCTGCCCAGGTTGGAGTGCAATGGCGCGATCTCAGCTCATTGCAACCTCTGCCTCCTGGGTTCAATCAATTCTCCTGCCTTAGCCCCCCAAGTAGCTGGGATTACAGGCATGCACCATTACGCGTAGCTAATTTTATATTTTTAGTAGAGATGGGGTTTCTCCATGTTAGTCAGGCTGATCTCCAACTCCTGACCTCAGGTGATCTGCCCACCTCAGCCTCCCAAAGTGCTGGGATTACAGGTGTGAGCCGCCTCGCCTGGTCAATAGTGATGATTTCTAAACAAAAGAACTACTGGACCAAGTTCCAGGAGTACGAGAAAAGCTTACTTTTCACTATATACCCACTGAAATGGTTTATTATGTAGACATATAACCTGCTACTAAGTTAAAATTCCATGAAAATATAAAGTATATTTGGCACACAGATTAATCATCTTGGAAGATACTAAATTATAAAAGTATAAGTCACTTACCTTAAAGAAAAAATGTATCACCTTTTTCTTCAAGATGATTGATGATGCTTCTAATGAATGATACTCCTTATCACTTCATGTATGTTTAGTAATTAATTTAAAAAAAAAAAAAAAAACAGCTATATAGCCAAAGTAGGATAATCTGCTGAAAAAAAAAAAAGAATACAAAAATATCACTATTAACTGATACATT